CCCCTGCCCCTCGCCCCAGCCGGTCTGGGCACGACGGACTGGCAGCACTGGCTGTGTGCTTGCCAGTAAACTGAAACAAAACAAGGGGGAAACAGCATCCTGCAGCAAGGGCAGGCCAGCTGGCGGGGCCAGGCCCTTTCAGGACCTCGAGTTGGGTAAAAGTTGACTTTGGGAAAGGAACCGGGAGTAAGGAACCCGCTTCAGCCTCAGGCTGCAACCTGGGACCTCCTGGTCAGCCTCCTGCTGGCCCTAGGGTGTGCCCAGGGCAGATCCTGGCGTGTCCCTGGGCAGAGTCCATCCACTGGCTCCTTGGACTTGTTGGCGGGCCCGTTGGCAACACGTAGGGGGGGGTGCACGCAGGTGCACCTGCACCCCCGGAGATTGGCGGTGCACCCCCTGAAAGAAGCACTGGCAGCAGTGCCTGCGGGCAGTCACCGCTTGCCACCACCCCCTTGCTGCTGACACTGCCAGCGACATCTGTGGGCACTTACCAATTGCCACTGGCCGCCACCAACGTTGCCAGCAGAGTCTGCGGATGGTCGCCGACCGCCGGTTGCTGCTCACCTCCCACCTCCCCACTGCTGACACCGCCATGGCCGCCTGCAGGATCTCCCTGCTCGCCACCACCATGCCCCCATCGCCACTGCCTGCAAGCTCTGGGGACACACGTTATTCATGAGCAGGCTGGTGCCCCCGCTGGGAGCACTCCTTGTCCACTTCTGCCCCTTGCTGCCATCCAGGTTCTACCTTTCATTTGGCCCAAGTAACTACTGACATGCCCTTAATTCCTCCACCTTTATCAAGGGCATCTTTTAACTCTACTTAGTAGGCACTGGCACACATTCCAGATTGGCACATCAAAAGGCCTACATCACATCTCAGGACCTACTGGTCAGCCTCCTCCTGGCCCTGGCCAAGCTTGCCATCTGTCTGACCAGGAAGGAGGCTCCGGCCCAGAAGCCCTCAGTGACTGTGGGGCCTTCTTCCAGTCACGTTTCTGGGCAGTGTTTGACCAGACAGGGTCCATTCACTAGCTCCTTGGACTTGTTGGCGGTCTAGCAGGCACTGGCCAGTGTGCTTTGCTTGGCATACCCCTCAAAGCACTCATTATCTACCTCTGACTCTCATACCCATCCCTGTTCTTGTTTTAAATTGTCCCAAGGAATTTGTTGGTGCCCACCTGATAGTCCCCCTCTACGAACAGAAGTGTTCCTGTATGGGCACCTACCCGTGTCTCTTCTGTGTACCAAACAGGCCTGTGTTGCACAGTGGCAGAGAGTTGATGTTGACAAGGAGAGTGAAGTGTGTATGACCAGGGCTTTTTCCACTGTTCCCCTCTCACTTGTAGCCTCCAGCACTTAAGATCCAGGAAGTTCTCGTTCAGAGGCTGCATCCCTAACTCCCATGCTCCTTTCCTCCAAAGATTTGTCTGATCCCTTCTTGAATCTGGCTAAACTTTCAGCTTATCTAGTAGCAATGCGTGCCATACTTGAATGACACGCTGTGTGAAAAAGAACTTTCTTTTGTTAGTTTTAAACCAAGGGTGGAAAGGTGATGACAACCAAGGCAGAACAGTTCCATAAAGCTGATATAAACAGGCTTTAAGGCCAGAAATTGGCCAGGACTATGAAAGAAAGCAATGAAGACCAGGGAGATCCCTCTCCCTGGCATTGGAAATCTGGCATTGAAGGGAGCTTCCCTTTCAGGTGTTATGAATCAGTGTGGTCAGGGCACTGCTTCAAAAGCACAACAGTCCCTTACATCAGCCAAGGATCTGGACCCAATATGCTTGCTGGCTAAACCCCTTCAGACAGCACTAGCTTTCTCACATCTGGGCTTATTTCATGATCCACCCGCACACAAAAATTTACTCTTCTCAGCTGTAACATTGCATGCATTTTCATTTTAAAATGTGTGTGCATTGGGGGAGATGAAAGCTTTGAGGCTGTTTCCAGGTGTCTAGGCTGCTAGCTGTTTTCTTATGTATTCTGCTGCACATCACTATAGCGTTTCAATGCTTTCTACATACAGTCCATTAAAAGAGCAAATTCCCTACTGGGTGTCCTGAAGCCTTGTCACTTCTCCCTTTGTAGCAGCACCATCTCAATCTTCTCCCCACCCCCCATTTTTCCCTGTTAAGAAGGGAATGGGGCATGGACACATGGTGCACCCATATTTTCACTACTACCTGCAGTTCTGATCTCCACATCATAAAAAAAAAAGTAGTAAAATTATAAAAGGTACAGAGACAGGTAGCAAAAATCTATCAAAAGTATACAGAGCAGCTGTTGTAACCAGAAGACATTGAAAAGACTAGGACTTAAGTCTGGAAAGAAAGCAGCCAAGAGGACATATGACAGAGGTCTCTAAAACTCATTAAGGCTGTGGGTGAAGTGAATAGGGAGCCATTATTTATCTAGTCCCACAACAGAAGAACTAGAGGACAGCCAATGAAGTTACCAGGGTTCAAAATAGGATTAGACAAATTTATAAGGGACTGTTATATTTAATAGTTCTCAGTGGATCTATCAAATGTATTCTCTGACATGCCTATACCAATGATAGTTGATGCCAGGGAAAGTATGACAAAGGATGGATCACTGTAGACATGCCCTGTTCATATACTCTCAAGCAGTGGTTCTCAAACTTGTTAGATTCAAGGCATCCCTTGGAAAATGCCAACTCTTAGTAAATAAATGCCTCTGCAAGCAAGTCAGTAGGGTCAGGGGGTTGACCTGTCATCTTCTCATTACAGTGATGATCATATCTTGGAAGGGGCCTCTTATCCACACCTATCTCCCCTGTCCTCTCCTAAAGGAGTGGAGAAATTGCCTTAGGAAGTGATCTACAGAAACGTTACCAAAATAAATATCAGCCAGGTCTGTACTTTTTCTATGTGTTCAGAATCATGGCATGGGCAATCAGGGAAGATCACGCGACATGCAGGTAAAGTCCAAGGGACAGGTTCCCAGGGAGCCAGGAATCCAAAGGCAGAGTAAGGGGGGACCAGCAGCCAGTTCCAAGGTCAGTTCAGGGTGACCCTGGAGTTCAAACCAGAATTAAGTGTCAGAGCAAAGTCAGGGTGAGCCAAGAATCAGAGCCAGAGATTCATAAAGTAAATAAAAAGGTAGGTCATGAATAAGTACCTAAGTCTTTGCCCAGACAGAATACTGAGAGGTAGGCCTAGCTTTTAAGGCTGAAGCAGATAAGACCTGTTGCCTGTGGCCTCAGAGGGCTGGCCACCCTGATTGCCCCACTAGGACCAGCTGGGCAAGTGGGACACATGGTACCTGTTCATCTGCCACCTCAGGGGATGAATTGCCCTTGATCCTCAAACTGGGACCAGCTGGGCCCAGGGCTCTTATGTGGCCTCATTACACATGAGGGCTTCCTCCACAGAATGAGGGCTCGAGACGTCTGATGTTTCACCTTAAGTATATCTACACTACAGCAAGAGTATTTAGACATGAGGCCAAAGAAGTAACCTCTGCCTACCTACTTCTGCTCTGCACTCATCAACCTTGGAAAAGAAGAGGTAAGGATATCCTGAGGGGTGTCTCAGCAGTTTGTTCAGCACCTACATTTCCAGTGAGCTCAGGAGCGGCACTTGGAGTGTCCCAGAGAATCCTGACAACCTCACTTCTGCAGTTGACTTAGACCAGGAGTGGGTAGTGAACCAGATCAGTGGTTCTTAAGCTTTTTAGACTTGAGGCACACCTCAGCAGACTCAAGGTCCCCCTTGGAAAATGCCAGGTCTTACATTTCATCCATTTCTTGATGATGGAAAAATAATATAGCAATTCTTCTGTTGCAAAGAATCCAGAAAGCCCACAACAGATCAGAACATTTTTTACACTATGGATGCCTATTTGAAATCTCTGGGTTTATGTTGTGAATCATGTGTAGGTGTTTGCATACCTAGCTGTGCTAATATTGCGTGGCACCCTGGTTGAGAATTACTGGGGTAGACAGACCCTGCTATTTTGGTAGAACGTTTGAAGAGTCTGCTGCCATGGTGTGGACATTTGCATTAACTGGGTCCTCAGTTGGGTGCCAATCATTGCCAAATGTAATGAAGGCCCCCAGATGGAGCACCTTACAGTGCTCCATCCAGTGTACAGTGTTGAACGTCATTTGGCTCCAGTCTGCCCAACTCTCCAGCCTGTCCAGGTCTGCCTATATCTGCAACCTTTCTTCTGGCATGGCCACACTCCCCCATAACTTGGTGTTAGGTGTGTATCCTTTCACTTCAGAAGAAAAATACCCTCTAGTACAACAGTGGGTGATTGATGTATTTTTTTCCCCTCTGAAGATGTCATAATGCTCTAGGGTTGTTGGGCTGGTCTTCTGAAATTGAGGCAAGGCAGGCAGATCGTCTGAGCAGGAGCATGCTTAGGAAATGAGACCTTTTTGTTATAGGCTGGTTAAGCTGGTTTCTAACTAGTTTGTTTGACTCCAGGGCCTGCAGAAGGGGATGAGTACGAAGTGGCATA